AATAGCAAAATTGGAAGAGGATAAGAGAAAACTTTGAAAGCATCGATTTTGGACGTAATTGAAGAGAAGAAAGAAGATATCATGAAAGCACAAGAGTTAGAAAATGAGGGTTATAAAAATGATAAGAAGGCAACGGAAGCGAATTGCATGCGCACTTTGGGAACATGCGAAGAAGAGAAAATCAATAGAGAGACTTGTGCGAATGTATCGGCGAGAAAAAATTTCTCGTCCGCGATGGAGAGATAAATTCGACGAAGCTGAGTAAAATAATTAATAAAGAAATAAACAATTCTGTTAAAGAAATCAACAATTCTATTAAAGACGCTGTGCAAACTATCGTGAAACAGTGCTCAATGGTACCTAGATGCAAGTATCCACTTTAAAAATTTTTCATACTCTTTCTCCTTAAATGTTTTATATTTTTTATAAAATAAAAATAAAAATATTGATTCAATAATAATATCAAATAATAATATCGAAATGTCTTTTATTTTTTTTAATTTATACTTTGTTATATGAAAATATAATTAATTAAGCAAGACAAAGTTGCAAAAAATAATTTCTTTAAAATAGGAAGAGAAAACGCCGATTTTGCCATGTTCAAAGGAATCTAAACAAAAATCCTACGTGTCTCAAAAGTCTCGTATTATGGAAGAACATCGTTACAAATTGCCCAATGCTTGTAGCAATCGACAAATAACACGTCATGCTTTACGTCAGTATAATTATCTATCCATGCATAACAACTCGTTTCCACACACTAACAAACATGAAGATACAATACTATTCCCTGTGAAAAATAAAGTTAACAACGACAAGAAAAACAAAAATCAACGAATAATGTAAATACCGACAATCGAAGAATGACTGGAAACGTTAATATTTATATTTGCTCGGAAGCTAAAGACACTAACCAGGTAAATTCATTTTTTTATAAATCAAATAAAGTAATTAAAAGTATAAAACATTAAAATATATTATATAAAGAAAGATAGAAAGATCTATTGTATAAAAAAATGTATCTCTACGTTTATTTCTCATTATTAATACTAAAGAATTTTTCTTAATTGCTTATTAAGTAAACTAATATAAACAATAGATTATTATAAATGCATAGGAAATAAAAATATCTAATATTAAAGTTAATTGAGTTTTATGATTATATTACAATTATTTTATTATACATTTAAACATGTAGGAGAAAAACAAGAAAAAATCGAAGTTTCGATTAAATACAGATACAACTACTACAAGTTCCGATACAACTACCGAACAATTAAATTCGAGATGTGCCAGCATATCATCATGCAAGTTAATAAACTGCATACAACAAAAACGTAACAAGCTACAAACGCAGCAGTCGTCTAATTTTATTCACAAAAAGAGCAGTAACGATAACATCAAAAACACAACATTGCGCAAAACCTCCGCGAAAGAATTAAGCGAGTCCAGCAAGGAGCAGCTAAATGTTAGCGATGATGACATCGAATGCAAAACACGATCTCATCAACTAGGAACGGTTGCTGTTGTAAGGATACAAGCAGTCTAGATCTTGAACAGGATTTGTCGGACCCTGCAATTCCATGTTCAGATATGAGCTTGTGCGACAATGTTAGACGTTTACAATCTTGGACCACTATATATCCCTCAGAAGCGAGAGCCATATTGGACGACAGTGACGTTTCCTTATCAAATACGATTTGCACCACGATAGAACAGAGGGATTATGGTAAAAGTAATACTCGAAATAACTTTTGCAAAAATAATAGTGGATATACGGTGTGCCGTGCGGTCGATGGCAGCAGATGGTTGCCGAAATCGATTTACACAGATTGCGCTACATATGACAAAGTGCCGAAGGAGCATTACGTAGACGGCTATACCTATCGAAATAAAAAATTCCAAAATTCTTTACTAGATCGTAATAACGTTGGGAAGAGACAGAGAGAATATAAAGTATTGCAACAACCTTCCGAAAGTTGCCAAAGAGAATACGCTATTCGACAACGATCCACCTGTAGTTGTATCGCGGAGGAAGAGGAAGATTGCTTCACAAACGTCGACAAAGTCGAGGGAAAGTTTCCTGAAAATGTATGCAATAATACAAAATGTTTGGAAAACATATCCGTTTGCCGAACACCTTCTGGCAAATTACCCGAGGCTGCAACTGCATGCGAAATATCGGTTAACATTGTTAGAGAACGCGTCGAGCAAACGCAAACGTACGAAAGTATGTTTGAGAATTCGGCGGAATGTCCGAAAGACAAATGTAACAATAATGTCAAAATGTCCATCTGTCAAACATCTTGTAGTAAATTAATAGATAACGATGCGACTGTGTGCGAGACTGTATCCTTTAGCGTTGCTAGATCACGTTTCGAGAAGATGCAAACGTGTAAAAATACATTCGAGAATTCCGTAAAACGTTTAAGAGGCGCTACTGTATGCGAAACAACGTTTGAAAATTCCGAAGAACTTCCAAAAGTAACGAGAGTTTGTAAGAAGTTCGTTACTGAAGAGTCTCCGGAAGATATCACAGTTTGCACGAGGATGTTTGGCGAACCGAAAGGGCCTCCGGAAGAAGTAATAGTTTGCAAGGCGCTTCCTGACGTCGAAGAAGCCCCAAAGGAAACAATTTGTAAGAAGGTTTCTGACTCGAACTTTGTTAACCGGGACAATGATAAGAGAGTATTAAACGATGCAAAAGATAACCTAGTAAAAGAAAATATGAATAGCTCGAATTTAAATATTCAGAAAAAGAATACTGAAAATGAAAGAACAGTACGACTAGACAATAACGTTGCTCTTCATCATTTAACGGAACAACAGTCTACGAACAATATAAAGCAAGATGAACAGATAAAAGAAACTGTTTCGAATAATCTATCAACTATTTCAACCGCTCCTGTGGGACCGATTAATAATCCTTCCTCTGAACCATCGTCTCAAATTATTTATTCTGCATTACCGCGCACGCAATTTTATAATCGTTCAAATTTTATTTCGAATCCTAAGACTCTTGTCAAGAAACAAAGAATCAATAATCAATCAATGAGGAATCATTTTCAGCAATCGGGTAAGGATATTGTGACACAAGATTTAACATTAGATAAAGATATTCAAGCTGACAAAAAAATGCAAGAAGAACTAAAGGAAGAGAAAGAGAGTCAAAATATCTTAAAAGAAAGAAAAACAACGGAAGAAAAACCGAGAGATTCATTTTTAAATCGATCAGTTAAAAAACTGACCGATGTTATTAAATTTGGTAGAATAAAATTGAAAGAAAGAACTGAAATAAGAAAAGATAAACCGGATAAAATTATTACAGATGATTTAAAAGACATTAAAAAATCAAACAATGTTTTTAAAGATAAGGATAAAATGAGTAATGCAATAGATTCGCAAAAAATGGATGAAAAGATTACAATGCCAGTGAGATATCCGCTCACAAGCAGAGGTAAATTATAAATTAATTTAGTTTGACAATTTAATTGTATAAAACTTTCATAATTGCTCTTTCATCATTTTACATTTTATATTAGCTCTTATTTTATATTATCTTTTGTAATATTTTGCATTATTAAAGTATAAGCATATACGTTTTAATATAAAAAAATTATTTAATTCGATTCAATATTGTTAAAATTCTATTTCTATATTTATAGAAATGACTAAGAAAGCTGAAGGTGTTGCGAAACCAAAACCGACTGCACCAATAGCTGGCTTTGCAATTCCTGAAGAGGATAAAAAAATGGATATTTCTAGCAGAATACAGACACCTAAATTATTGCGCATTATAGCAGCGAAAAAATCGCATCTTCCATTAACTGTAACAACAATTGATCCTAAATCTCAAGAGCTTAAAGAAACATTTATTCCTGTTGAGGTTATTAAAAATGGACATGTCAATCAGGATGAACTCCCAGAGGAAAAAGTGATTCCGTCAGAACCTATTCCTGTTGAAATCGAAAAAGAAATAAAAGTAGAAAAATTCATCGCGCCCGAAGTAAGTGTCGCCGAAGTTGAAATGAGTGTTACAGACATTCCGAAAGATGCTGCAGTCATTTCAAAAGATGTTACTGATGAAAATCAAGTTTTAAAAGATATCGATGAGAAAGAGAAAATTTATGTGACTTGTTCGCACAAAAGGCTAAAAGAGGAGCCACAAAAAGACATTCCTTGTAAATGCGCTCTACCTTCTGATTCTAAAGATCCTTCACGTTTGATTGTCAAATGCGAAACGATCGATACACTTTATCCGCAGAAGAAACTAGAAGAAAAATCACCAGAGTTTATCTCTTGCAAGCGCGGACTAATTTCTGATCTGAAAAATTGTCCATGTTTGATTGCCAAATACGCGAAATGCAATAACACTCTCGAAGATAGTCCTTGCAAGGACAATGAATTTGAACAGAGAAAAAATTACTGCGAATACTGTCGTTTATCGACAGGTCAATGCGCTTGCGCACCAACACAATACCTAAAGAGTTGCTTGAAGACTGATAAACCTAGATTTCGTAGTATATCACCTTCGAATATAAGTTCGCATTACTGCATAAATTACTGCGAAATGAAGGAAAAATGCAAATTGCAGAATTGTTGCAGAACAAAGGAAGAATGTAGAAAGATTGCGGCTCATTGTCAGCTTCATGAAGAATGTAGATGGTGCACAATGTGCAACAATTGTTCAAGAATAAATAAGTGCAGGTAATATAGATTCTATTTGCAATATTAAAATTAGAACAGATTGTATAGAAAATATCGAAATATATAATTTCGATATTTATATATATTCCTAATTTTAATACTGTAAATTTAAAAAATATTTTAATTAATAATTAAAAAGCATCTAATATATATAGAAATCTATATTTTCTCAAATGTAATTTTCTTATAAATTCTTGAAATATTCAGATGTAGATCACCAGTTAATTGTATCAACTGCTACAGATCAAGAGATCGATGTTGTTGCGTTACATTTGCTTCGGAAGATTGCCACATAGTCGAAACAAATTGCGGTTGCAAGAAGGCAATGATTTGTCTGTATTGTGATAATAGTCAAGATAAATGCACGTGCAGAGCACCGATCGAAAAATGTTCGTACTGCGGGCTGCCATTAGATGTTTGTGACTGCCAAAATGATGAAGATCACAATAATGAACGAATTGCTAGAAAGCCGGATGAGGATCGAGCAATCCGAGTTACTAGTTGGAAGCCGAAGAGAGAAATCAGACGATATTTCGCGAGAAATCTCGAGGATTTTCCGTCAGATTCTATTGAAGAATGTTACTGCTACGAGAAACCGAAACGACAACGACGCGAAGAGCTGCCTTATCAAAGGTTGAATATCTTTTCGGATGTGATGAACGAACTGCAGCAAAAGATGAGCGAATCCGTATGCTGCTCACGATGCTGGAGAAATCCGTGCTGCTGCGGATCGCGAATTGATCAAGAAGATAAAGAAGAAAAAAGGAAAGCTAATGTTAGGTACGTAACTGTTGGAAAATATTCAAGAATGTAAAGTATTCAAGATGTTAAAATTTTACGAAATTGTTTTTGTATCATTAATTAGATATTCTAAAACAGAAAAGTCACCTAACAGGAGCAAGTCGCCGAATAATTGCCGGTTAAGTCCCGAAAACAAGCATAAAAATACGGTTAAAAAATCGATTTTAGTTCGACGTATTGATTGCGTTTGTAAATTGTCGCCATGCAGATGCAGAAAAAACAGACTATACAAAAGACCACTGGCAAAATGTTATTATTGCAAAAGTTTGCCTTGCACGTGAGTAAATTAAACTATATGTAGATGATACAGATTTTAATTATACTTTTTTAAATAAATGTCTCATCACAAAATTTAGTCTCTCTCTGTGAGACAATTAACATTTTTAAAGGAATGCAAATAATCGAGTTCGGATATTAACCGCACGTTCATTAATGAGCACATGAAACTCTCATACTTTCCGCTGTTAGTTTTTTATTGCATTCTTTGCTGCAGCTGCATTATAACAGGTAGCCCGGTAACCGAGGCCGTGCAAGTGCAGTGATTCATCCAAATCCTTCCGAACAAAAGTAAAGACAAAATGAGCTCAATTTGAGAACAAATACGGAAAGATCAATGATAAGTTAGTAGTAATTTACAATTAATGATCAGTTAAATAAATGTTACATGTGTGATGTTACAGTATATAGTTATGATATAATATAAATTCAGAATTTTTAAATATATATTTAAAATCAAAGAAAGCTAAAAATGTTTTAATGTTAATATCTTCACGTATAATATAATTCAATATTATTTTAAACTTTTAAATTATTTTAATTCTCTATTATCTTATTTTCCAATCATTTATATATGTATTCGATTTTACAATTAATAAAACATTTTATGAATATTGATTTTCTTTCAAATGTATTTTTTCTAAATTTTAAATTTCTTAAAATTTAAAAATCTTTTAAATTTCCTAAATGATAATAATAAAATAAATATGTGCATTAAAACAATTTTCTTTTAATTCAAAAAATAGAATATTATCTTAATGTTGCTATCATATATTATGTGCAATGCGTATTAATGTTACCAAATTGATTGAAATGTTTTCTTAAACTTTAAATTTCGTAATATTCCGACATGATGCAAATGTTTAACATTTGTTCGGGTCAAAAGATAAGAAATCTCAAAGGCATGTATCATATGAATTTATATACGCTTCATATGTTGGAAAACACGTGTAACCACAAAATTGGAAAGTGAAAGAAATGTTAATTTAATAATAAATCACTTGAAATATTCGATATGTATGTATAATATATTTATCTCATCTATCAAGATAAATATAAATAAAAATAATAAACACAATCCTCTCAAACAAACTGATAATAACGTTTCGACCTTAAGTTTAGGTCCTTATCAAGTGATTTATAAAAATATATAAAGCAAAAATATGTTCGTTACAAAAACACAAAAAAAGGAACAAGTTACAAAGATTTCAAATATCTTTGCATTTATAAATATAAATAGTTAAGAATTTTTATTAATAATAAAATTATGATCTTTGTTAATATACAATTTATAATATTATTACATACATAATCAACTTAAAAAATACAATTTGCTTTATTTGTAAATAAAGCTTTAACTTAATAATGTATTTTAATATTATAAATGACAAATAATATTTTATTAATTGTAAAATTTATAAATCTGCAAAAAATATTAAACCGACCAAATCCGATTAAATACATAAATGACTCATATATACATATGTTCGTCATTAACCTGAAATTAACGTTGAAAATCCGAGATCACGTAATATGACAAGAATAATAATGATAAGTAAATCTAATTCCAAGTTTTTGTTCAAGAAATTTTTATACAAAAATACGTCACAAAGCGGAAAGTACACAAAATGATAGTGCCACTCTGATTGGAGTAGGGGACTCTTGTACTGCATATAAGATACTCGCGTTGTACTAGGCCCGTACCGGCTATAAGCGAGTGAAGACAGCGAGGTAGTTGGATACGAGAATTAGTACGATCTCGCAGTTAGTGCTCGGCGTACACAGACTCAACATAAATCTCTTTCCTCCCTTCGCTTTCGAGTCTGCATTCTCCATGTCAGACAGGACGAGCCAAGGCACATTTTAACGTTCTCGGTACTAAATATTCCCCGGTGCAATTTGTATCTCGTGCTCGTATAAACTAAAGGAAACTTTTACCATAGTTGAATAGAACTGCCCAAGTGTTGATACCTTATAGTTGAAAAAATGGAGATTTGTAACGAGGAGGATCGATTGTATAACGTACCACGCGGAAAATCATCGTGTCTTATTGGGAACCGGGAGAAACTACGACGAAAAGAAGTTTCCACCCTCCGGGAACTTATAGATGCATTGCACGAGGTTTTTCAAACGGATCACGTAAATATCGATCACGTTCAGGACTTGATGATGAGCTACAAGAGCAATCCTTTGGAGTGGAAGAAGTTTGCCAAATTTGACAGATATAGGTATTGTAGCACTTATTTATCAAATTTATTTAATACTTAACAAAATATATCTTTTATGTGTAGTTCTTATTAATATCTATATTAATTTCTATCACAAATATTTTACACTTTACAATAATATTATTTATATCATGATTACAAAACACTTTTCAATGTCATATGCTGTTTTAATTTTGATTATTTTAAACTTAACTTTATGACTGTTAACTTTCATAATTTAAATTTAATGATCTATTATAATTATCAGAGATCATTATACAGAGAAGAGGATACAAATAAAAAAACTTGTATGATAAGAACAATATACAATTGCATAAATCACACATTTACAAAATTAAGTAAACATTTTTTACTTACAATGACAATCGCAATAGAGGATATAAAGAGAATATGAAAAAAGGTTAATATTAAATATATATATATATATATATATATATATATATAGATGTGCGAATATATATATATTAGAGATGTGTGTATATATATATATATTAGAGATGTGCGAATCAAGATTTTCTAATTCGAATCGAATCGAATCAAATTTGCAAAAAAAAACTCGAATCGAATCGACAAAAATATCGCCGAATCGAATCGAATCGAATCACCTATATTTCGAATATATATATATATATATATATATATATATAATGTATTCAATATTCAGAAAAATATTCAAAAATGTTCATATTCTATTCGTACTCTCTATTGCAATTGTATGTAAAAAACTTTTGATTATAAACTTTTAATGTATGATTTTTGAATAGTACATTGTTTTTACCATGTCGCATTTTTTTCAATTATATTCTCTTCCCTATATATGTATATTAATAATAATTTAAATCATCTACTGTTTAAAATAAATCAATGTTGAGACAACATATAATATTGAAATCTTCTATAATTATAATAGTAATATTATCGCAAGATATAAAATATTTATGATATATATATATATGTACATATATATATATACACACACATCCAAGAATGAAATTTGTAAGATTACATGTTCAATAAGATTTACATAAGTATCTTATCAAATGTCATTATTTTTTTCTTTCAATAATCTGCAATAAAAATGATTATACATATATAAAGCATGTATATATAGAGGAATGCGTATGTTTCTCGAATAGTTACAGAGTAATTACACATCGGCAATTACGGTACTATTGTAAACAAAATCCCCGTGTAACGGTAATGATCAATCAGGGACATTCCGGAGAAATGCGTCAGTGAGACAAACGGTCGTTGAGCCATAATTGACAAGAGTAAATATTTTCACCAATCACCATATTTGAAATGTGTAAATAGAACGCATACAACATGCGTGCAGAATTGTGAAATGAAATTAACACGAAGTTCAGGATGGGTTATCATCGCTCGCGCGTTCTCGCATCCGCACGTCTTTACTCGTTCTCTGATGCTTTACGGAAAACGTGAAAAGAATTCAGCAATTTTATTCTGACGTGACCTGTGCTATCACTAACGCTCGTGATAGAAATGGGATAAGTCAATTAATGATTGTCAGACAAAAAAACAATACGTTCGACACCCTGATAAAACTGGATTATCACTGGAATTTCTTCCCAATCTTTAACGTAAATCCCGATAATCAACATAAATATATATATAGATAATGTAATATACGCAGTAGAATATAAACTATTCTCAGGAGAATATCTAATCTTAAGCATAAACTATCTTGTTTGTACAAAGAAATGCTGAATTTAAATAATCAGAAAATATCCCTGAGAAAAATAATCTGAAAATATTATGAAGAAACGGAAATTTTCAAGATAAATAAAGTAATTCGTTAGGTATTTGTATAACTAACTTATTAACAATTTCATTAATGACCTTTTAATATAATGTACTTTGTAGAGTATTAAAAGTACAAGCAGATAATCACGAGCCAGAGGAAAATTTTCGTATTTTCTAATTTAAAATTAGAAAATACGAAAATTTTCCTCTGGCTCGTGATTATCTGCTTGTACTTTAAATAAATAAAATAAATTTGTTATTTATATCCATGTATTTATATAACTTTACTAACAAGATTAGCTTATTTATAGCAGCACACGATTTAAATATATCTTTATTCGTGTGATAAATACAAAAGGACATTCTGAATTGTTAGCTACTACGAATATTTCATATATTCCAACAAACTGTGCGATGTAACTCGTATGTTTATATATATAGAATATGTATATGTTTTGAAACGGGTATTGTTAATACATGTAATCATTAGACGTTCGAGAAATTTTCGTTAACATGAAATCTCTCTCGGGAGAACTTTCCCTCTTTCTCTCTTTTTTAATTATTATTATAAATTATAATATTTAAATTAACACACACAATTATTTTGTCATTATATATGTTTTATATATAATACATATAATGAAAAAATAAAATATTGTATATATAAACAGAGGAAAAGATGATAACTTTAATGTGCCTCTAATTGTCGGCAATGTTTTGCTATATCGATACTCTTGATAGTTCTTGATTAAGCGAGCAACCGCAAATGGGAACGAAAATGAGTTTACGAGTTCGCGAGATAACGAGCACCTTGGACACAGGTGGAATTACAGTGTGCAGTAGCCGAGATCCACGTGACTCGGGAAAGTACGGAAACTCTGGCGCACGTTTACCGGTTTTGCTGTCAACACAAAGTAGAACATAAACCGAGCGGCACACAAAACTCAGCAAATATTCCTTTTACCGAGAGTATTCTAACGAAAGGCCTCTCATAAAGAAAGATGAATCATTCTCGGCATAATAGCCATATCGTTTGAAAACACCGTATAATTTAACGCTTTTTATAAAGATCTAAAATGAATACAAGTACACAATTTGGTGTACACAAAATGGATTATGAAAATTTTCCATTAATATATAGTATATATGTATATTGAAGAATTATTTGTACATTTGAAGCATTTTAAAGAAATATTCTTATAAAAATAAAAAGCATGACATTATTTTCCAATTTTAAATTTTATTTTAGCAAGAAAAAACAATAAACTTATATGATCTAATCTTTTTCCAGCATGCACTCTAAACTTTTTTCAATAATTTATTTAGAATATTATTGTTTTAATTTAACATCCTGATATTTTTAAATAATGAAATTTTAAATAAAATAAATTTAATAAAATAAAAAAAAATTTAATAAATTTAATAAAATAAATTTAAAACAAATAAAAATATTCTGGTAGTTTATGCATAAAAGTATTATAAAGAATTAAATCAATTATAAAAAGAATTATCAAATATATAAAAAGAATATATATTTGAAAAACTGTATTTTTCTTAAAAATATTTTTTCAAATTTTACTACTTTGTTAGAATTTATTTTTAAAATTAAATTTTGATATGGAAGTAAAGTAGTGATATGTACGTAAAGTAGAGATATCTAAACACGATTGACCGGTGCATATCGATTATATACTTTTCATGCATTATATACCTAGTTTTCATATGTTCCCTTTCTTCGTATTCGTATTCTGTGCAGGACGATTTTGGTATCGATGATATCAGTATAATATTCGTAAAAAAAGAACGAACGAAATATGTACCTATGCGAAGTATCGAAATTCCGGATTATATTCGTTCTGTTGCACGAAACTTGCAGATCACTGATTCATAAATCATATATACTACTCGATTTATATTAATGCTCCATAAATAATTCTTTCTTTGGAGATGAAATCCGTTACCAAAATACATATATATATATATATATATATATATATATATATATATATAATTGATTATTTAATACCGCTGCATCAGACATATTATATATAGAATAATTTAAATTTAAATTACTACTTTTCTCGAAAAAAAAAGTTTTGTTTATTATAATAAATTTATTTAATTCAATTTTATTTCCAAGGAAAATCAGAAATATCTCAATTATATTACAACCTAAACTTTTGTAATTTATATTTTAAAATATATATAAATCATTAAAAACCTGTGTAACTTCTTTGTATTTTAATAGCAGTATAATTTAAAATTTAAACCGTAACCAATATTTTTTGAAGTTTTATGATCCTTAACTTAATAGTTACATTAAGTTAGTTAATATACTTAATTTAGCATAAAGTCGGTTTTTGTTTAAACTTGGTTAAATAATAAATGTAATTAATTCCAAGTGATTTTCTTGGACTTTATCACGACTAATTAACCAAATTAGTTTTTGATTGCAAGTTGTAACTAATTTCTGATATCAACGTAACTCGTTGATGCAAGAGATTTCACAATATGTGCTGCTATTAAGTCCTATCATATCCTTAATTAACAATATCTAATTACGCAGATAGCATCAGTAATTAAGATAGATCAATAATAGTAGACTTGCTGCCAAGTTGAGCATTTGTGTGCATATTTATGCATGTATTTTGTATACGTAAAAATTGTATGCTAAATATACATGTGCATTTAAAATATATACATCAGGATCTTCTGATTTTCAAAAGATTGATCAACAACAATAGAATCCAATAAAAATGTAGAAATAAAAATTGCAACTGATCAAATGAAATTACAAAAAAATTGATAAAAAGCAACATACCAAGTATAACGATGTTCTGTTGGCAGATACACAAGAAATCTAGTTGACGAAGGAAATGGTAGGTTCAATCTTATGGTGTTGTGTTGGGGGGAAGGTCATGGATCAGCCATACACGATCACGCCAATGCACACTGTGTAATGAAAGTCCTGCAAGGAAAATTGTGCGAGGTATGTATAAAAATGATTGTATTTGATAGTGTTTGTTTCTGGAAACAATTCAAGTGTCTATTTAATAATGATAAAGTGCTCATATTACAATAAAATAATCGAAATATTAAAATGTTAGACCAGATATGCATGGCCTGCAAAAACTGAAAAGGAAGGCGTGATGATAGAGAATGGAGAAGAACTCAAAGAACTCGAGAGGAATACACTTGATACAAACGAGATTTGTTACATCAATGGTATAATTTTTTTTAATCAAGCTATAAATAATAAATTTTACATATATTTAACATATAATGAATAAGCAGCTTTCTTGAAACTTTATAATTTGTTGGATAAAATTTATCTCTCATAGCATAGATATCAAGCCTGAATCACTTTTGCAACAGCAAAATTTGCAAAATAAATTTTTAAAAATGCAAATTCATTTATAAATAAAATTATATATAATCACATGTAGATATGATAATATTTATGATATAAATTTTGAATAATTTCCTACATTTCCCTTCCAGATTCGTTAGGTTTACATCGTGTCGAAAATCCAAGTGCGATGAATCCTGCGGTTTCTCTACATTTATATTCGCCTCCATTCTCAACATGCTCGGTTTTCAACAAGCAAACTGGACAAAAGTCGATGTGTAAGGTCACGTTCTGGTCAAAGTATGGAGAACGAAGAAACCGGGTAAGAAACTAGAGATCTAGTTACCTCAAAAGTTTCATGTCACTGTGTGATTCTTGTTCTGTCCGCTTAAGTTTCTTATCAAAGAATTTTGTTGCAAATCAAATTTGCATTTATAATTGAAAATTATTACAAAGATTTGAAAAGATAATTAATGCTAATAATTATGTTTACAGCTTGATTTTACAAACTTTGATAGAATTAATTAAGTAATATATAATTGCCTTACAAAGTATTTTTATCATAAGTATTTATATGTGTTATTTTATATGTGTGTGAGCAAAAATTTAAATACAATTTAATTTGTAGGAAATTCAAGATGCCAGGTCTCCAGAAGATAATTAGTTTAAGTAAGAACGTAAAAATATCATTAGATATGCCAATTAAATGCCAGTAACATTTTAATTAAATGCAGAAATGATTTGAAATCATCTAATTTGTGTATAAATTATCCCAGCAAATACAAAGTAACAATTATATAACATCAATGTTATAATTTCCCACTCAATAATATAACTGTTATACGTACAAGCCATGTTATATTGCGGTTATATTATTGAGTGGGAAATTATAACATTAATGTTATGTAATTGTTATTTTGTGTTTGCTGGATAAGGTGGATATTAATTATAGCAATACATTTATTAAATTATAGAATTAACATTATATAATTTTCATCATATAATTGTTTTTAAGTACTTAAATCTACTTATTAAGAATCTGTAGTTGTCTAAGAAATTTGTAGATATTTTTAAATAAAAAAGATTTTGTGTTTTCTTGTCGAACCGTATTTTTCATCAAAATAAATTAACTTGCTATTAAAATAAATAAATTATAAATATCCATCTATAATAAATATAACAGTAAAAATGTATAAAAAGATTTTTATATATATGTATTTTAATATCTTTTACATCTATTAAGTGATATTGATATGAATAATATTCAATCTTATTTGATCTTTATCATTTGATAATACATTTAGACTCCACTTTCATGCTTACAATATTCAATTTAAATTAATTATTACCCAAGGAGAACAGAAAATGTCAATTTGACGTCATATTGACGAAAATTGTCATTTTTTGGCCATAGAAATCTCGATCTCGTAGATAACTTAACATGTAATTTGTTTAAATTTTATGAAGCATTGTATATATAATTTATTTTATTTTTTAAACAATTTGGTCTAAACAAATAAATATCTAAATTAAAATCGAATTAAATTGAATATATAAAGCAATATTAAACATATGTATAGAATTGAAAAATATAAAGAATGGAAATGATATATATAGTGATGATAGTTTAAGTTTATGCAAACTTATTATAAAACTGAATAAATTTGATATCCATTTAATTAATTTACTAATTCAAAATTTATAATTTGTGAATTTGTTATATATTTTAATTTGTTGTTATAGTTTGTTAATTTGAATCATTTTTTCTTATGTCTTTGGCGAGTTAGACACAATTAAAAAATTACATTTTATATAGACTTATTTTGACCTTTTTAATTTTTAGAAAATGTGATGTACATTTCTCGACTGTATATATATACTATGCTTTTATTATTATGAATAATAAAATAATTAAAGGTTAAACATTTTTCATATTCAGATATTATTACAGTTCGCAGAAGAGTTGAATTATTGTATTAAAAACTAAATTGTTGATTAAAATATTATTTTCAGCGGCATACGTTTTTTTAAAATTGCATCTCAATTATTTTTAATATAAAATAATAATTTTTTATCATTGTGAACATCAAGATAACATCAAAATTTTATGCAATTTGATATCATTTTGACGAACTAAAATGATCATATTTTGACCATAATTTTGACATATGTCAGATATAAATTTTTCGAATGAACCTATATATATATGGTTAATTCGTTAATATATATAGGTTACATCTCGTGTTAATATATATATATATATATATATATATATATATTACATATCGTACAATGATTTCAGTTAAATTCCAATTTTTAGTTTTCAATTAAGTTTGATTTTGAAAAATTAATTCTACATTCCAAATCCTCTAATTTAATAAATAATGCAAATTTTCTATTGATAACGCCAAAGTTTTCTCCAAAATAGCGCGAATTACATCGAAAAATGAATATATAAATACATATATAATACGAAATGCTGGAAAGAATATAACAACAAATTCTAAATAATGAGGCCGAAGAATAAATAATAGGATTAAAATTACCGAATTGATTGACGAACAATCTGCACAGTGGCCAAATATATCGGAGCAACACATATATATATATATGTACGTTTTCTTTCGATGCCCATCGACATACGAATGAAGTACGCGTCGAATCCGACTGATTTTTCATTGCCGATATATATCGATAGTCGGACTATCGAATATCGAAGCACGCACAGATGGCCTCTCGTACACACGTGCAGCGTGTCAAAACGCTGTACAAGACGATTTTGAGGTTACACCGGGTTTACCAACCGAGATTCAGCCCTTGGGCAACAATTATGTCCGCGACGAGTTCAAGAGACATAAAAACTGCGTGGAGAGCGAGGCGATTATTTTTCTCCGCGAATGGACAGTGAGTAGAGAGTTGATATGAGATTCCAAAGGTTATGTTTACCTGGTTGGACGAGAATTGTTAACGAGGGACTTGCGATTGAAGTATAATTAATATATTCCTCTCATAGGATTACGCGGTCTCCCTCGCTGAACAGCTGGGTTTAAGGGGCCCTCACACAGGACGACCGCTGGGGAAATGTTTGAAGGAGCAGGATCTCGAGATGCTGCGGGACGAGCAAGTGTGTCAGCTGTACGAATTAATGATCGCGGCTACAGGGAAGACGGACGATAAATCGAAGGGCAACGCGTGATTACGTGGGATACCATTCGCAGAAATCGTGTACACTCAAAGATCGTAGAATTGTATCGTAAAATATAAAAATAAATAGTAAATAATTTATTCTGAACCTTTTACGTCAATTTTAATACAATTATTTTTATGATTACATAATACTGCGTTTCTAAATTAAATAATAGTGTTACGCGTCTTGATATATTATAATATCGATGGTTTAGATAAGTATTATTGCCTCCAATAGCTTTTCAAGCTGATTCTGCTCCGAATATTAATTTTGTTTTAATTATCAATTTAAATTCGCTGATGGCCAAAAGTCAACTTCCCGACTGGATCAAAAGAGATTAGGAACAAGCTTTTCAAGACGAAGTCCTTGTATTATTATTTATGATATACATTTGATAACCTTATTTCCATTACTTGACTACTTCCAACTAGCAGTAAAAAGTCGTAGTGCGTAGTTCTGGTATTTTACCTAACCACGTATAAGCGATTTTAAGGATGAAATCTTGGCAGGAATCGGCAAGTTTGATATTAGCAGCACGTCACGTGCAAAAATATAATTCCACGGTGTTGCCTGCAATTGTAAGTGTATAAAATATAAATTCCATTCGCGTGACAAAATTTCTATTTACATCCTTTTTATCCTACTTTACGTTGACACAGAGAATGAGAAAGATCCTGAATAGAGAATAATATAATAATTGAACTTTTATCATTAATTATTTTTAATTATATTTTGCATTTTTGTTCGCGTGTAACATATTTGTCAATTAAAATATTGTCGATACTAACGAATATAACGATGACATATATATATATGTTGTAGAAATTGATATGTTGAAATATACATATGGATTTATATTTTCAGCACAATTATAAATTGCTATGGTTGAAACGTCATCAAAAATCAAGTTTTATGCCGGGAACGTACGTCTTCCCGGGCGGTACTGTGGACTCAGCTGATTCTAACCTGAAGTGGCGGGAAATCTTCGCCGCCTTCGGTGTAAACAATGACAGATTCGCATCTCTGCTCCCAAAAATTGCGGTGCGTCCAGAGATTTATCGATCAAGACAAGATGAACTCCCGAGAGAGATCTCGCTACGTATCACTGCGATTCGCGAGACCTTCGAGGAGTCCGGAATATTGATATGTAAACATAAAGATGACCATACGTCTACTAATTGGGCCAAACACGTGTCAAGTAAGAAATGTATAATATGAATCAGTTTGTAGAGTGTATATATAATTCTTGCGTATATATAATAAATTCTCTATTATATTTTTTATAATAAATTCTCTATAATTTTTAGTTCCGAAAAATGAGTTGCAAATGTGGCAGAAAAAGGTACACAACGATGCTACAGAATTCCTTACTCTCTGCGAGAAGTTGGATTGCTATCCAGACTTGTGGGCACTGTATGAATGGAGAAATTGGTTAACACCTGCGACTTTGCCTAAACGCTTCAATACTATATTCTATTTAGTCTGTTTACCGTTCATGCCTTATGCTGAATATGAAGCGTCTGAAATGGAAGATCTGAAAGTGAGATATTAAATAAATAAATAGGTTTCAATAAAAATATATATATCTTTTACAAAAACTGATAATTAGGAACAAATTTTAGTGGGAAACGCTAGAAAGTATTTGCTCAATGGATATTACATTACCACCGCCACAACAATATGAAGTTGCAAAATTAACTCAATTTAAAAATATAGATGAATTGCTACATTTTGCTGAGGAACGCAATACAGAAGAAGCACTACAGTTGTTTTTACCGGTATGTAAACTAAACTTTTATTGATATGAATCATGAAACAATAATTATACAAAAGTCTGTCGCAATATATTACATTTTATTGAATCATAATAAGTATATATATTTATATATATATAGGTGTTTATACAACTAAAAGATGGTGCCATACAAATTATGCCTGGGGATACAATGTATCCAAAGGAAGTTAGTTTATCGGATAACAAATAATCGATAAATCAGATATTACCATAGATGAATATCGAAAAATGACACCAATAAAAAATAGAGTAGAATATGGGAACACACAAATAAAAATCATTTTTACTGATGAACATGGGAAAGATAATTATGTGGAAATGTCAACGGCTGGCTATACAAAACACGCACATAAAGAGACTAAAAATAAACTCTAAAAACAAAATATAAAATAAATTAAGAGTATAAGGAAATATTCTATATATATATTTGGGGTTTTTTAATCAAATTATTTTCTTACATATTAGACATTTCAAATAATTTATAAAATATTTAGAGAAAATATTTTATAACATTTTTTATTTAAAAAATATTTTATAACATATATAGACAAATCCCTTCTTAAAATAGTAGAAGAGAAATAATTATATATTTCTGTAAAATATAAAAATCTTTGTATCTATATATATAATAAATTGTTAAACTATACTATGCGAATAGATTATATCAAAATATCAGTTGTATATAAACTTCGTATTTAAATGTTTCGAACAATGTAATTGTATTTACATATATTAATTAGTAAAAGAGATACAGTTAAAGGAGATTTATACAGATTAATTAATTAATTAATCTACTTTATAAATCAACTTCAAGAGAGAGAGAAATTCATATATTTACTATATATCTATCTATTTATTTAAAATGTAGCGAATACGTTCATGTTTTGTATTCGGAAAAACCCGACAAACAGTATTTTAAAATTTCGCGCGTCGGCCAGCAGCGCCATCCTGGGGCAGCGCGGTGAGAATCGAAACTAGCGTGTCTCTCTCTCTCCCGACTCTGGCGAATCGATATTCCGCTCAAATATTGACTCCGCGATTGTGTGTGCGGTGTGTCGCGAGAGCGAGCGCGCGCGAGAGAGAGTTCGTCCGTCCTGTGCAGAGTTAGGCGGTGATGCTCCTTTAAAAAAAGTGGAGTGCTCCCCGAGGTGAGCGCGTGCGAGTGCGAGATACGCCGTCTCCCGCTGCGGAGAGAGCGCGAGAGTGCCATAACGAAGCTCGTAAGGAAGCGTAGTAGGAAAAGGTGCGTAAGTCACGTTGCGCGCGGATAGACAGACGATCTCGCGTAGTGACAAGAGGAACAAGGACGAGGACAGTGGCGGACGACCGGACGATCCGCAGCGGAGGAAATATGCTGCCGCGGACGACGACGAGCACGCTGCTCTGCGGGCTGCTGGCCTTGTGTGTCGGGCTCACCCACGCGAGCATCGCGTCCGCCTTCGAGTCGACACCTCCGAGCTCCTACAACGATCATGGTGGAGGTGAATTTTCGTCTCTCTTTCCGTCTCTTTCTCCCTCCCGCGGTCTCCCGCGCTGCCCTACATTTCATGCTTTTTTCACCTGGCAGAGTCTCGTCGTACGCGTCGTTCTTCCCGATCGTCGCATATGTGTCATCCGTCATCCGGAGAAACGTCACGTCACGTCATGTCGCGTCGCGTCGCGTCGCGGCGACCCGCAGGTGTGCTCGTCGCACCTGCGGCTCGCCAAAACTGTTATGGCGATTTCATTGACCGTGTGCCTGTCTGTGCACCGTCTCGTTGCACAATATACGAGGACTTGAACGTTGCACTGCGCCCACCCGGTCGGTCGATAGCCACCGCTGACGCCGCCGCCGCCGTGAAACGGGCGAGAAAAGAAAGGCGGCTATTAAATTCTATTCCCTCCTCTACCTGTCAAGCGCGACTTTTTTTCTCCTTCTTTTCCGTGGAATTGTCCAGGTAAAAAAAACGAACGGGAAAAATGCAGGGTATCTCGAGGGATTTGACCATACTTGGACCGAACACGTATACTCGATTGTTGTTGATGTCGAATTCTCTTGACAGATGTTACAGGATCTCTACGGCGACGTAATAAAAAGATATCGAGGCGCTGTAAAGTTTCTCCGGCTTGCTTAGATTTTTCACGTTTTTTTTTATTATAGTTATAATTCGTTAGACGAATATATATGGAGTATTTTTTTGCACGACCGGGATTATTAATATGACAAATGATTAATTTTGTATATTTTCTGCGTAATGTTCTACGTCGCGAAATGTAGGATTTCAGTTTTACATTTTAATACCTTTGCACTCAGGGAATGTCGAAAATAATCGGGTTATGCAAAATTCCGCGATTTCGCTGAAATTTATTCGCGCATTCGTAAGCGACGATGATAATAAAATTGTCGAGACCACTCGATGCATCTCGATGCGACACAAGATTGTTTGCCATTGAAAGAAATATAATGATACGTTGCATATTTTTATTTACATTTCAATATAATTGCCTTTTCATGTCCACATCTGGCAGTGATCGACTGCAGTATTATAAGACTTGAATCTGTTCTGATAATAAAAAGATGAATGTGTGATAGTAGACGAATGGTAATAACATCTGGATGAAGAATAACGATCGGTCGTTTTAATACGTTACGCGATAATACATATTTTTTTACGTATATAATTCTTTATTATATTTTTTATTTTATTTATACGATATAATTTTTTTATACATTTTTGTGCACATATCTTTTATATATTTTACATATCGTATAAAAGATATAATTATATATTATATAAAAAATATATTTTATATAATGTACTTAACTGTTTAACACTTTAAATTTATATTTATATAATATACTTAACATAATTTCTTCTGCTTAAATTGCAAAGTATTATGGATACTTAATTTTATATCAACGATAATATTTCAGAAACCTTTTGTAATTTTATCTGCTTAATTAAATGCACTTTTCGCGCAAATGGGGGACCCCTCTGACAATTACTTGGGGTTCGATTACCATCGTTCACCGAATGACGCTGTTAGTCATGCTCTTCGGAATAACAAACTAGGTGTGAATCACATTTGAAAAAGAAACCCGGGGTAAAATTAGACTGATTTCGGGCAAAGCCCGAAAGTAAAGTGATGTGAATCTAATATTCCTGTCAGCGACGAGAGAGAGAGAGATCGTGTTACGCGTGTTAAAAATATTTGGTTGCATCCCGCGACACGTGTGAATGTGTGTGTGTGTGTTGGTCATTAATTATTCCTAATCACTTTCCGCTAAACTTAGAAAGTCCGTGAATGATATATAACTAAAAATTTTGTTTCAAGTATTTTAAACTTTCTTTACGGCAATCTTGCGTCCCATATAATGGATTGCATATCGCGATTATTGAATAAATGCATTTTAGCAACCCCGATGTATTTTGGTACGATAATACGTCAAAGTATATTTCATATACGAATAGTTAATTAGCGATCCTGGTGGTAATTATCGGCTCCTGGAATTAGATATTTGACCGATTCAACCGAATATTCTAATGAGATCGCCGAAATTTAAGTCGCGGTTTTATCATTACGACGACAGATGCGATATTAATTAAGCGATCCCATCCGTAATTTTATTTGTTTTTTGTTTACAATGATATCATACATGTTATTGCATCCTATAATATACATATAGACTTTGCTACTTTTAACGAGAAAAATATTTTATTCATTTCTCTGTGATTGATGATTATTAACAATTTATATATAGATATATGATATGTATAAAATTGTTTTTTTTATTATTTATCAAGGTAATATTTTATGTTGAGATGTATATCAATTATATTGCTAGGAATCGCGTGTATGTATCATGCGTAATCTTTAATACAGAAATCGTTTATATACGTTCATATTGATAGCTCTTGCATGATATGTGTTTGTATATTATTAATTAACTATATGACTGTGTATAAGAACTCACCATGTAGATGTGATTTTATTTTGTAGACGGGTTTTTACAAAACAAAATGTCAACTTTGATGCATTCGTTATATAGAGATAATTGCAAGATAATCGAAAAGCGTATTATGCATATGTTTCATAATTGACTTTCATTCCGCTATCGAAAGCGATTGCTCATAAATAATTACTCGGTGCTAGTTCAAATATGCATGCACGTATCATAATCGTGAAAATATGGAAATCTGATGTTAACATGTAATTCGTCGGTTTAGCATACCGAACTGTCACCCATTTTCACACCCGAATTTACGGTTTAATTAATCGCGATAGATCTAGCATTTTTATTTTATGAAATAGCTTATTTTTCACGAATTTTTCAATGCAAACATCCAGTTTAGTACCAAAGATCTTAATAATTAAATTTCACTCTTGAATTTCTGTTAAATAAAGATAGATTTAAAAAAATTGAGTGAATAAAAATTTATCATGGTTTATTTTAATCTTTAAAATGTTTGCTATTTTAGCTTCTTGAACTTTTAGCTTCCGATTTTTTTAGACTTCTAAAAAGAGAAAATTTATTCAAGATTAATCTATCCATCAAAGTAATCTGATTCTAGGTCACATTGTGTGTTACAAAGCTTACATGAAAATATTAGTTGTCGACGGCTGCATTTCAGCTGCGTTAATAATTAACGGGATAATTATGAGCGAACGAACGCGCAAGAACGAACGTTTTTCGTCTAAGATACGCTTATATTGTTTAATGTTTTTCTCATTACACGTAGGTTGAAGAAGTTGACAACGAGAGTTAACGGACTGCTGCCTCTTTTATTTCACTTAACCCATTTCCGCTAAATTTTAAATTCTTCCCTTTTTGTTCGCGAAATATCATACGTAACGCGCGCCCGGAATATTTCCTGATGCTTAATTAAAAAGTTCGCTTGTTATACGGAACGGTAGATTTCATCGGTCTCTTTAAAATGCGCGTTGAAATTTTTCAATCGTCGCTAAATTGATTCATTAACTTTTTAATGCTTTGTTAAAATGGAATTGAATTTAAGATTTACACCATCGAAGCTCGTTCAATTTACAACAGCAACAATATACTGCGAGAAGGTTTCTATTCGATGAAATCCGACAATAAGCGGAACTATAGCATGGTAGGCGTTTTATTGGCCGAGATATGATACGCTTGTGCCATTATGTAAATTCGTACATGAAGTAGTCGTATAATACCGATTTCGATCCCCGAGTTTAACGAGGGACTGTATATATTCATTCCGGTTGTACCGTATGTTTCCGAGATGAATCAGCGAAATCTGACTATCTGTCTTCTTGGAAACGTTATCTTTTCCAAGGAGAGAAACGAAAACACTGCTGCGAGGTATGCGAGTAATGTCACTTTAAAAATGACAAAACCGCGCGTAAAACTGATAAGATGATCCTTTTTTCCTGCTTCTACTAAATTAGAGAAGATGTTGATTATTCGCCTACACGTGTTTTGTAGTTCCACGACTGGATCTGGAGAGCCTCGAGAGCGGATATCATGGCCTGGTCAAGGAGAACGAAACTCTGGTCGAGGTCACGCCGCAGATCCGCGCCCTGGGAACGAAAGTTTGCTCTTCCGCATCGCGAACAAGCATCACGGCGAGGCGCCGTTTGAGATTGTCCTGAAGGAGAAGGGGATGGCCGAGCTACGTGCGTTTCGGGTCCTGAATTGTGAAAAACGTCGTAATTACAAATTCGACATCGCCGCGGTCGGCTGCAACGGAGCGCAATCCGAGAAGTATGTTCTGCATTCATATGTGTACTGCTGGATGTAAAGAGATCACAACATTCACTTTTGCGCTCGAGCAATCGTAGCGAATTTTCTCCTCGTTTGTCGTATATATTATAACGACCCGAGTATTAAGTACACGGGTATACAAAAACGCGCATTTGCTTAGGAAAAATTCTCCGCGATAAAAGTAAACTCGAGAAAAGTAGAGCGGAATGAACGATATACGGAAGAACTATACTTAAGTTTATAATTACGAGAATCAGCTCGGTTCAACACGCGACTGCTTCAATGCTGAACAAAATTTCTTATCGTATGATGTACTCGGCACTCAGATAAGTTAACTAGAGATTTACACTTCCACCTCGTCCGGCTTCTTTTCTTCGTACAGCATGGTTATCTTTTTCTACTGTAATTCGGATAACTCAGAGAGGAAAACTTCCGTTGAAAGGTATTAAATAACAATGACTGTAAGATAATATAAACATGTTTTATTCAGCATTTTTTAGTTTCTAAAAATATGCCGTATATTAAACTCTTTTAGAAGAATTTAATATATGGCATATTTTAAGCCTACTATAGAAAAGTTGAAGAAAAGATATTTATATATTTTACAGTCATTGTTATTTAATATATAATACACATATATACATATACATAATGTTATGTTATGTATGTTTATATGTGCGCGCGTAACAGCGCAGAACTTTTTCATTAAATTAATGGACATTTCATCAAATGAATTACTTCCTCGGAATTATCCTATTTTGCATACTCTGTACATACATACACACATCTATAAGAAAGAGAGAGAGATATATATATGACAGTTGACATATCCATTATGTTTTTGATTCGAGGAAGTAAATATCACTTTATAATTTCTGCATTATATTTTAAATTTTAATTGTATGCCCCGAGATATAAGTACAAATTATGTACATCATGCGCGCCGCGTTTTTATCACATACATTATTACCATAACACATTAGTTACAGATGTCTAAAAAGTTGCAACAAAGTTTGCTCATATATTACCATTATATCGGAAATATATCGTTTCACCTTGTGTTGATCTGCAGTAAAGTCGTAATAAGTCATTTTTTTTTTTTACGAATATAGGCATCGGATCGGTGCGTCGTCCGGTACAACGCCAATTTTTCCGGTCTGCATTGACGCGTCGTGTATACGCCATAATCCTGACGTGTATCGACTAAATGAGGAAATAACTCCCGGCTTGAGTGCACAAATTTTCTCATTACAAGGGCTGTGCGATTTTCACACCCGTCCGAAACAATAACTGCCGTTTATTCCCTCGTGTACGCGCTCGATCTTTTACCTCGATAAATGTGTTACGCGATTCTCGAAATAAAACATTTCGCGAATTAATAATATATAAAAGTAAATATAAAATTTTACGCAGAAACACAATCTCTAAAAAAATTGTAATATATCTCCAAATTAAGTCAAGTTGATTTTTGTTAGAAAATTATTTTAAAAAAAATTATAATGTATAAAATGTAAAACAGATGAAACTTAAATTGTGAAACAAACACACGCATAGGGACCATAAATCATATAAAATGGTTCAATTTCATGTGTCTGAAACATAATGTTAGTGACAACTAGATGTAACAAATGTGATAAAATTTTGCAATATATGGGTAAAAACAGGAAGTTCCGCAATTGCAGAGATAATTCACTGTGAAAGGCTAATACGCCCTGTTTCCAACCGGAATCTCTCTCTCACCTCCACCAACGAATCGACAGATCAATAGTGAAACATCTCGTACATACGTACATACAATGTACGATGCTTTTATATATGAAAGATTTCGTGATGAATTTTTTATTACAGCACGAAAACGCGATACGTTATAATGAAATTTTACTTTGACGACTGTCATATGGAATTATGGCGATATCGATCGGCTGATATCGCGGCTGGCCTCAACAATCACTGTTGTTTCACTGAGAGATAATTTCATATCGTAATTTCTAATTAGTCTATATCCACACGTAGATCCGACATATATATTGTTATGACATTAATACTCAGAAGAGGTCAAGCGAGGGAATAAATCGCCCACAGCAACTTTGTGCGTCCGATTATTTATTATTGCACATTCTATTCTGCAGATTTTCCACGCATTGATTTGGCCGTGTCTAAAATTTCAAACGTAAATAGATTCCGAGCATGTGTGTAACACTCACAAACAGCAGTTGTTTGAACGTGTGTTTTCAACAACGAAACAATTCGAGTCGAAATTCAATCCTTTTCGATCGTACATACGGTCTCTGCGGTATCGTTTTTATTGACTTTTCCATTGTATGTCACATATTAAATTTCCGATACCCGCACCAAAGTGGACACTGTCATATAAATGTTTTACATTAAGTATATATCGACAATGTTTGTTCGGTCCTATAATTCTTTTATACTCTTTTTCGGCGGAAGTACGAAACGGACGTGTTTCCTCCTTCTCGTTAACAACGCGGAAATATTAAAAAATACATACTAATTTCGTATATCGCGGCACTTTGTGAAGTATGAGCGCCACTTTGTGAAGTATAACTTTTAATTGACTCGAAAATCCATTACATTAAACTCACTTACAAAGATAAGCATATAACTATGCTGGCGTAAAATTGCTATTTTTTATCTTGACATAAAAATTGTTAGAGAATACCCTTTATACACTGAAAAATAAATCTCTTTTATAATCTCTCTGGGGATTCGTGGAATTATATTGCAAATCCTCGGCTGTAATCCGTCCTGAAAATACTCTTTCTGATAGCTGGAAATAAACTCTTTTAAATCTGTTATATAGATGCATTTATAGCTTAAAAACTTTAAGGCTTCTAATTCACAAGGCTTATCAAAAAACATACATATATATATATATACAATATATATACTCAGGTTTATTATATGCTTTCCAGTAAATATAGAAAATACCGATACATTAATTGCAGAGAACCAGAAATATAACGTGAGAATTCCAAGAATCTGGTATTCTAGACTTGTAGACTAGCGGAAGAGACATCCTGTAATGCGCTTCCTTTAATATTCTTCCAGCGCCACTGTTCACATCACCGTGGTCGATGTCAACGAATACGCGCCGCAATTTCTTCAGCCAGCCTACGTCAGCACCGTGGACGAGGGTCGCCTCTACGAGGAGGTGGTCCGGGTCGAGGCATCCGATCGAGATTGCACGCCCAAGTTCGGCGACGTCTGCAAGTACGAGATCCTCACCGCCGACCAGCCCTTCATCATCGACAACGAGGTGCCATTCGTAACACCGAGCCCCTGGACTACGAACGCTCGCATAACTACATACTCAGCGTGGTCGCGTACGACTGCGGCATGAAACAATCTGCGCCGGCAATGGTTACGGTCAAGGTGAATCGCGTGTGCGCACCAGGATGGCGCGGCATCCCCGAGAGAGTCGACTACGCCGCCGGAGTTGGCTCGCAGCCTCTGTTACCTTCGGCGCGACTCGATCTCTGTGACGCGCCCTGCATCCTGCGAAACGTGCGAGCCACCCTGACCCTGGCCACCGATCACATCGGCAAGGGTTGCGATCGGGATACCTATGGAGTGCGCAGCCAACGGAAATTGTGCGGCGCTTCGCGAGACAGCGTGGATCTGCTGCCTACTCCTGGACCCACGAGCTCCTGGACGGCATCCCTGTCCAGAGACGAAGGTAGAGAGGCCGACGAGATCTTTGAGTTTGACGGCGTGGACTCGGCGGCGATTGTGCCGAGCGATGTGTTGGTGCACAGCCTGGCGCAGAAATTCACCATCGGCGTCTGGGTCAAACATCGACCGCGTCCGCGACAGGATCCGCATGTCAAGGAGCACATTCTGTGCGCTGCTGATGATCACAGTAAGTTTCAGTGACGTTACGATATTTTCAGTTAATGGATATTTATTATTTTCACTTGTACGATTACTTTTTAACATTATTGCAGTTTTCTATTTTATGAAATTTGTTTCATTTATTTTATTGAATTTATTTCTATTACTTCTATTAATGGAAACAAATTGTGTTTGATGAAAAAAAACTGTTACAAATAATTTTTTCTTTTTGAAAATCTAAGTTAATTTAAAGTTATTCATAAGTTTTAAGGTTTTTGAACTTACTATTTATATATATTTTTCGAATGATGTTTCCAAAATTGCACAAAATCATAAATACATCATTGACTCTGCATCATCAGCTACGTCATGTTCCATGATCGTTTATATTATAATTACCCTGATTGACTTATAGTAGGAGAACGACGAACGAGCTAAGCCAATAATTCCAGTTTTCCTTTATATACCCGAGGGAGAGACAATAATCATTTTAGACAGCTGATAAGCTCACCGGTCGTTCCGATGTCAAGTGATGTTCGTCGACGTAATCGTTGTTAGCAGAATACATTATGCGCCGTCGAGAGTGCGCGCGCTCAAGCATTAAAATATACATGTTCGCTTCGCGGAAACGCCAGAGTATTATCGTGAAGTTTCGAACAAAGCGGCTTAATCCTTGCGCAGAATGAATTTTGGCAAGAAATCAGGTCGCTCGCGCGCATTTATATAGGTCGTCGCTTACGCTCGCGTTCTCTCGCGAAGAGTTAAACTCAAATATCCTGCCTATCTACCTCCCACCCTGGCGTCCCTCTTTCACCGCTCTGAAATACAAATCTTTCTAAATACCGACCGGTCTCTATGGGCGACGGCGTAATCCTGGGTTATACAAACGTTCGCCCTCGTCCTTCCTCTTCGCGAAGTTTCTCCTCTCTTCTCTCCTCTTCGTTCCCTTTCACGTTAAATTCTCCTCTCCCTTTAATACCGTCGTGCGCATATTTATTACGCGGCGATGTCACGAAAGGTGCAACTAATGCTGCGCGCCGTTTCAATTACAGAGATGAATAGGCACCATTACGCCCTGTTCATAAGGAACTGCAGATTGATTTTGCTGCTGAGACGCGACTTCTCCGAGGGCGATCCCAACATCTTCCGCGCAGCCGAGTGGCGTTGGAAGCTCAGCCAGGTATGCGACGACAAGTGGCATCACTACGCGATCCAGGTGGATTTCCCGCGCGTTAACTTGTACGTCGACGGCGAGGAGTGGCGCGCCGACGACAAGAATCCCGAGGTCATCGACGATTGGCCACTACATCCGGCCAAAGGCGTCAACACCACCCTGGCTGTCGGCGCGTGCTGGCAGGGTTCCGAGAACAAGACTAAACATCATTTCCGCGGTTACCTCGCCGGTCTCTCCGTCTTAGTCGGGCGAAACGAGAAACCGGAAGTGCTCTCCTGCCTACGACGCTGCCAGGAGGGCATCCACGTGCCGCCCATGGATCTGTTGCACCGGGCACTCAGCTGCTGACCAATTCCGACCTGACCGAAGTGCGGATCGACGGTGACAATCGCACGAACGTGGAGACTCTGCTACGTCGTATCGGCTATTCCAATTCTCGACGTTTCCCGACGCCTGGTCGCCGTAACTTCCGCCTTGACACGACAATCGTCTGCGAGGGCAGTGAGAACACGCCTCTACCGGTGCCGACCGTGCAATCCTACGTCACTGTACTACCGCCTCCTCGACCGGGCATCACTGTCAACGGCACCGGTTACGTGGCCAGAGAGTATGCAGACTTCCGGCTGGGAGTGCGCGTATTCCCAGACGCGCGGGTCACCGCCGGATCGGCCGCCCGATTGGACGCCTGCGCCGTCAGCGTTTATCCGAGCCTTAATCCCGATCACGAAAGCCTGGGATTACCCGCTGACGCCCTGCTCGCATTCCACGACATCTCCGCCCGCGTTGATCGGACGGCGTCGTTCTCTCGGGCGCAGATTCGCCCTACAACTATCAGCAGCTGATCCGTCTTATCATGTACACGAATCGCAAGCCGGCTTACTATCTCGATCGCGTCTTCAAGCTCACTTGCTCCGAGCTGAGTGGTCGCTTCGCCAGTAACGAGTACGTGCAGACGCTAGCTGTGATCCATCCCAGGAGAAGACGACTGTTCCTCCGACACCTGCGGAACCGCCTATTGCCAGAATCATGGAACCGGCACCGGGTCACGCGCAACTTTCGCCGCATCATGCCGATCTGACGGAGGAATACGCCACAGCCGCGCTTCGCGAGGGCAGTAGAACTATCGGCGGCGCCGGTGGTAGCCACGCTGTGACCATCGTGGCCGCCGCCTGCATCGGTTTTCTACTGCTGATGGCGGTGGTGGGCGCTGCGCGGGTCCGCGGAGCGGCTAAACGACGACGATCCGCTGGTGACGAACTCGCCGCCGAGACAGAGATGGCCTGGGACGACTCGGCCCTTGCCATCACCGTGAATCCAATGGACAGATTGACGGAGCACGATCAACATCACCAGAGTCAACGGGAGGAGGACGTGGACGACTCCGGCAGCTCCGACTCCGAGGACGGCTCGTTCCGGGATGACGACCTCGACAGCTCCGACTGCGAGAACGATTGCGAGCTGAGCAACGGCCGGCACCGCCGTCACAATTCGCCGCACGATCTGGAATGGGATCATCGTGACGTTTAAATCACCCTACCTATCTCTACACTGAGCGCATTCACATCCCCCTTTTTCTTCGCGGTTTTTGGCATTTGAGAAGAGTACTGGCCGCGTGTCGCTTTCCGCAAAAAGATTGTTCCAGCGTTTCTCCGACGGCTATCGGCAAGTTTCGCGAGTTTATTCCGCGGGAGTAAAGAGTTTCGGATCATTGTCTACGCGGACGTTTCTCGTCGAACGCGATTTTGCATTCGTCCGAAAGATCGTTCGCTCGAAATTCTCTTCCCGTTGTATATCGGATATTACGACGCGTCGAAGAAATTAGAATATTTACTACGCTTTCGAATCTTCAGAAGATAGAGTACTAAGGTTTAAACGTTCTAACGTGCTTTTCATACCGCTCGATCGACTCTCTAAACGATTATTATCCCTATTTACTGTGCGCTCGCGAAAGCGTTATCGCATTACATCCGTCCCCTTTTCGTAGACGACGTCGGTACAATTATTACGAATAAAGTAAAGAAATGAGACACATATACGGCATTCAGTTAGTACTCGTCTGAAGCGCCAGGAAAAATCTGTAAGAGTGCGGGACGCTTTATCGAATAGTTAAAACTCTTTCTACCTACGAACGCACGTCGATGTTTGGTAGAATCGGAAATACACGCAGAAGATACTTAAAACATTGCCGAGAATATATTTACCGGCAATTATTAATTTATATTCTTGACTCAATCATTGATAGTAGAGTAGAACAAAAGGGGACTTTTTTTATATCCCTAACTCTATCTTTTTCTCCTTTTTACTCTATATCCTACGGTTATTGCTATTTTATTACTCGTACTAACGATTATAATAATACGCTACGATTATATCCAAGCTACTTTATATCAATAGTTATTGTTTTCGTTATTATTTTTTACAGGCAGGACGGTCCGTTAGCCGATAGTTTTTAAATGCGAAACAGTGTTGAAGCAACTCTATATTCTTCCTCGTCTTATCGACTAAACCTTACTTAAGACCCACATGCATTTGATCTCATGAATGTAATTCTCTTGCAATAATTGTGTCTTTCGTATTTTCATCAAAAGCGCTCGCGAGCTACGAGTTGATGTAAAACTATAAATCGGCAGCAAAAACGCGCGCGATAGTTTACGAAGTAAGCTAAAAAAAAGCTGCTCGCTTCAGCGTAGCACGTGAGTCTGGGCTGAGTCTGGGCCACACGATAACTTGCCCAATTTTCCATCTTTATTTCTAAGTCGTTAATCCTGCGATAAGTTTTTTCTTTTGCACACAATGTTCGCTTCTTTTTCATTAGAAGAAGAGAGAAACTTACAATTGTCACGCATTTTATGATAGTGCTTCAACGTCGTTAAAGTAATCAGTATAACATCATATCCGTATACAATTGTGTGCGCATACGAAAGCGGCCGCTTTTAATTAAAAAAGACGTACCGGTCAACTAGTCCGCGAATACTCGGAGAAAATTAAATTCAATAATAGAGAGCGATACATAACGCGAGGGAGAGCAGATGCTTCATATGTTACGTAATTTTTTCCCGAGGTATAAATATTCATTTTTAATTAATTAAAATTATTTGACACGTGAAGAATCGGCTTGTAACGCGAATATATATATCTTTCCCTCGCGTTGAACATTCTCTTAATTTCTCCTACAAGTATTCGCGAATTAACGGCAGGTACCGTACGCACCCACACGTGCTCTACATACACACATACATATATATATACACTATATATACAGTGTCCATTCATTATTTCGTGGCGAAAGTCTCGTCTCGAGTAGTAGACGATTATTCTAAAGTAATGCGCAGCGGCTGGAGAAGCTATCAGCTTCTCTCGTTTATTTTCCCCGACACAAGACGCGTCATATTGTGCAATCGCTCTCTTTTCGCAGAGGAAACTGAGTTTTACGTGCCTTTTAAGCAGTAGTACATTGAATTCTCCGCTCCACGTCTAAGTATTGTATTTTAATAGCTAATCATCTCTCAGGCCGCGGCGCGTTTTTTCTCAGTGGCCGCTCTATATTGTTGTTATCGAGACCTTTCGCGGTTGCCGATGGCTCTCTCATCCGGTGTATACAGTTTATTTATACGATTTATTGTGATTACAACTTTCGCGTCGGTATCGCGAAAAGTTTCGATTGTATTTTTAGACATTTACGGCTGTTAGGAGTTAAGGATCGGACGACGTCGTGCTTTCGCTAGACGTGGTTTCCTGGTTTCCGTGCGACTTGTGGTCATCGTCGTCGTCGTCGTCGTCCGGCGAGCTGTCACGAGTTTCGATATACAATGCCTGTCGATGGTTTCGTATCGGAAAACGCGTCATACACGTGCAATGATTGCAGGGTACATTAACTCTGTCTCTCTCTCTCTGTCTTTCGAAATGGTGACATGACGACTGCGCATTCGTACTCGCCACGAAGTAATGAACGGATTTCTGTGTGTATGTGTGTGTTATGTATGTGTGTGTCGGCGTAATAATTTATAACTATACCGAATCGTTTGACGGAGGCACTTATAGGTGTACCGAAAGAAAAACTCGTGTACGGATATATCTATATTCATATTTAGGGAACTATTGTAATGAACAATTTATTTTTTCAACGAGCATATCATATCATTTTTATAAAGGGATTCGGCGTTCGAAAAACGTTTTTTGGGAAATCCTTTCGTCAACGAGCGATCTTGCAATTCCGCGGTCGCGAAAAAAAAAAAGAAAAAGAAAAACGTCGTCGCACTTTGCCACATATGAGTGAAATGCAATTTCTTTCTCGTTTAGTGTCCGCGATTCTCCAGGGACAAATTTCTTTTTTTTCCTTACCTCCGTTTCTGAAGGGAAGAAAGGGGGGAGGCTATTCTATATAACGATACACCCTCTCTTACGCATTTCTCCGATTTCACGCGAGAGCAGATGCAGAATTTCAGATTGTTCTAAACGAGAAAACCGAGGTCGATGACTATTGTAAGAAAAAGATAAGGACGCGTATGATCGTTTATCTGTTCCTGATAACACCAGATCGCATATACACTTATATATACGTAAAAAAATACCGGTGTGTGTACTGCTTGCTTTTATACTATATTTTCCTTTCTAGCATTTTCCTAACGTGATATCATTATTATTGCAACGCGACTCTCAATGCGCGCGCGTGTAATGTATAATCTCGTATTTTATAAAGATCTATAACGCAACACACGCAGTAAAGGTATCGATATATAAAGTTCAATCAAGATACTCGACTTCCGCATGAATATATATTCTCGGAAGATCCGAAACACAATCGAGGAAATAAGATCTGGCCTTTACGACTGTGTCTAAATTAGCTTACGTAAATGTACACACGCGTGTTTGTATGCTTAATCTTCGAGCATAAGTGCACGGTGAATTAAACAGAGAGATATGAGATTCCTGTTTCGTTTGATCGTCGTACAAGCGATATTATATCATAATACTTGATCATCGTACACACGACACCGTAATGATACTACATACACCCTCTTCGAGTGCACGATGTCGAGGTAACGAAGTTGAAAGAGAAGCGAAAAGATCGGTATGAAAAAAAGATATTTCGCTAAAAAAAATAATAATTGTACTCGACCGTATATGTAGGGTATCCCTTTTTTTACACATTTTTTATCGGTCTCTTATCATCCTTTTCTTTTCTGTTTTCATCATTTGAAACATTTACGATTTAAAGAGATCTTTGTATATTATTATATATACTTATTCTAAAAAATATCTTCTATTTCAACAATATCTCTCTTATCTTGTTGTATGGATATTTTGAAATTAGGAGTAATATGTGTGTGACAGAATATTACTTGATATCGATATATGTATAGTTATAACTTATAACTTAAGTTGTCTAAAAGTCGAATTATTAGAAAAAAAGATAAATGTGGTAATAAGATATTTATATAATTTAAATACTGTAAAATAAGGGGCGCCCTAATTCATGCGGACATCTTTTCGCTATTCCGAAAGAAGTTTCTTTCAATCGATAATCAAGAGGTAATTAAGATGAAAAAGCGAATTCGCAAAGACGTAAAACTAATCGGGTGCGCCCGCTCTAAAGATATGTACTTAATTACTAATTAACAGGAAACGGAAAAACACTACGCAGAATAAAACCAACTAGATGATACTATTATATAATATGTATACATAAAAAAAAAAGAATATATCTAAGCTGTTTGCAAATGATGATGATAATGATGATGATATAAAGGGGAAAAGAGGAAAAAGGAAAAGGGGAAGGAAAATGAATTTGTAATGTACCATTGTATTTTGTAGACAGCTAGAGAGTGTGTACGTATACATATGCATAGGTACCCGCGTGTATGTATGTATGTACGTATGTTTACGTAATATAAATATACATACACTCTACCCTCTTGTCTCACTTATACACAGAAACATAAAAACACACACACGTATCGTACCATTTGCGGAAAACAGAGGAATATTTTGGATTTAAAAAAGAAAGAAAAAAATAACAAGGAGAAATGAGAAAGAGCTCGCGTGGAAAAATGTCGGAAGCTGTAAAAGCACCAGATTACATTTTCCGAATTTCCGAATACGAGAGAGACTCCTCTCTCTTTCGCGCGCGCGTCTATCTCGCGAAACGAGGGGTACATATATATTCTCTTCAGCGCATATTACATTCGCCCGCTACCACCGACGCGTATCGTATCGACTTTTACACGTACAATATACACGCTCACGTATCTTCGATACGACGACAGAATGAAACATCCATGTGCATGTATAGACGCGCGATCACGCGCGCGTGTAAATCGAGAAATTATAACGCTTCGCGGGGCGAGAACGCTCTCGTGTCATTCGTCTGATCCTCCGCTTTAGCTTTTAGAGCTCGCCTTCTCTTTTCGCGCGCGTGCGAGAAGCGGCAAATGGAAAGATGTTGAGAAAAAAAAAGGAAATAAATATTAATCCTACAGCGATAGTAGAGCAAGATTTAGCGATCCGGCTAAAGAATGTTCCGTTAAGGCTTCTGGATCCTTGATCGACTGTCGAGAGAAAGAATAGTTTTCCAACTATTTCGAAAGTGTGCTAAAGCACATCTAAAGTTGTGTCTCATCAAAATATCTTTTTATGGAAAAATGACACGCAAGAATTTTCAGCGTGTATTTTCTCGCTTCAGCAATTCTAACATGGTCGGCGAGGAGCCAGGAGCCTTGCTAATGAAATTTTATGAAATTTTTAATTCACGCACACGTGGCGCGAGATGCATAAGAACGGTCCGATCATGATTGATATTGTATTGATAGATTTTGTTAAAACGAAAATTCGAAAATGAACGAGGTTGCTGCGTATATTTTGTGGAGCGCATTTTATTTTCGAATGATTCGGAATGGAAAGTTTTATAATTAAATCACGGAAAGTGTATTAAATGTTTGTAAAAAAAATACATATGACATATCTCTCATAAAATATACTAAGCGATCACTCCAGGAACTTCGTTATTATTTCTCTTTATATATGCGCGATGCTGAAAGGAAGATAAAGGAATAGCGTAGTAATGATATAATCGGACGTTAACAATAAAATAAAAAGTAAATTGCACGACGGTGGTGTAATGAGTGAAATAATCAACTATTTCTTAGCTAGGCCGTAATGGAGTATCACTACGTGCCGACTAAATTCCCTCCCATCGCAGATTGATTGTGTGTTAACTAATAAGATTAAATAACGATATAGTACAGTTAAGGAATTTAATTATTATGGATAAATAAATAATTAAAAAAAATACTATCTGTATACTAAGCACACACGTTTCAAGCCGTAACGTGACGTATGGCTAAGGCAATGTTTATGACTTAAACGAGTTTTTAATTAATTTTAACGTGACACACTGAGTTACTCGGCGCGTCCGCACCGCGACGCACAGAAACGTCAAATTACCTTGTTAACTCTGCAAACTGAAAGATCGTTCAAGATAAAAAAAAAGAAGTATTAGCAATAGTATAACTACACACACACATACACACACGTACACGATACAAGATCACGCGCGGCCGCATATACACGCTGCACAGGCTAGGAAAAATGAAATATTATCTATAACGACATTATAAATAAATATTAAGACGTCAACTGTATTTGTTTAATAAAGATGTACATTCGACGTGTGACGATTGACCATTGAATATCCGGCAGGTCACCAATTTCGATAAATTTCTAATTTGGATTTGATAAGAATTTTATTTCGAACGAGAGATTAAATGTGTCTCTCCGATATTTTCCATAGATTATTCTTGCATTTGTACGTTATATGCGATTTAAATGTCCTGCCGGTTAAAAATGGACATTGAATTATTTCTATTCTCTCTCCTACATATTTTTCCCTTTCATATTTTTGTCCTATAAATTATGTTTTACGGTAAATCTTACGCTAAATGAACGTTTAAATAAGAAGCAAAAGTAAGTATTTATATAAATATTTGAAGTTTTTTTTATTAATCTATATATATATATTAAATAAAAATTTATCTGCACATATACAGCATAAATAATAACAGAACTATATAAATCTAATGTCGGGATCTGCGATATTTTAAATTACATAAATAGAAACTTGATATTTTCTTAATAATTATTTACAAATATATCAAACACCATATATGTTTAAAATCAATATTATAGTTCGATGCTCTACTTCAGACTATCACACATGAGATATATTTCATTAAAAAAAATTCGATAATTTTATATATTTTTTTTATATTGATGTTTCAAAATGATATATGTATATATTTGAGAAGTTACATCATTCGGAAAAATTGTGTATGTATTCAAAATGTCAGAAGATGAGATATTGCAAGAGATTTAGTCTTGAAGAGTTTATACAAGTATTTGTAAATTATATGACTTGTCGAGATTATAACTTTTTATGTATATTTTTTAGTAAATACTTTTAATAAAACAAAAATTTATTTATATTATTTTCTATAATAATGTTCGTAATGCAAAATATTAATAACTTTAATCGGTTTTCTCAACATGTAGTTATTTTTTTCTAACTCTTTCCTATTTTATATATATTAATGTGTTGTATATGTATATATGTGTGTGTGTATATTATATCATTTATATATTCATAACACAAAATTGTAAAAAGATTACATTTTCAAAAATGTAAAACTACTCGTATGAATCTTTTTTATATCTTGTGTTAGATGTGTAATATGGAAATTAGAAGGCAATAATTTAAATATTTTAATTTTTTTGTGATTCCATAATAAATATGAAATTACTAATTTACTAGAGAATGGAGTGATATATAATAAAAAATTTCATTTCTAATATTCTGATTATAAAGCGTCTCCTTCAATACATTTATATTTGATGTCATGTTATATTCTTTTTGCGCTCTGTATACACTTTTATTCCTCAGTTCTTAAAATTTCCATTTTCCATTATCAAAGGGAAAGTAGTTACATTTTTCTTTCGACAATTTGTATGTGTATTACAAATTTATTTCCTATATTATTATCCTACCGTTATCATTTCGGATATTTATAGTAGGATGCATCCCTCATCTCAGTATCAGCAAACAATGATTGTTGTCTCGCTATTGTTGTGAGAAAATAATTTTATGTTTTCCGCGCTCCAATGCAATAAAGCTCCTTGACAAACGACGCTCCACACATAAGGAATGAAGAACTCTTCCGGTTGTTCCTCTTCCACATATTTAAATTTTAATTCTGGAAATTTCTATAAAAAGCAATACATATAACAAGATTAAAAATTGTTTATATAATTTAAATAGATGACATAATTCCTCCAATAATCTCTATACATACTCTTAAACGATCTCGTGGCCATTCTAAAGTTCCTTGCTGTATAGTAGCCAATACTTGGCTAACACCAATTTGCGACTGATCTTTTTGCTCCAATTTATAAGAAAAGAAATTAATCACCTAGAAATCAGACATGTTCAAAATTCGATTATTGCATTAATTTAAATTTACAATATATTAAAATAATTAAAACAATTTTTTTTATTATTAAAATATATATAAATGTTATATCATTTGTACACTTACAGAATCAATATTTTGCACGATATCTTGGAAAGCAGAGTGCATTCTAAATGGTTGAAAAACATCCTTTTTATATAAGAGAGTGTAAACTAAGTTTGGGTTGTATGCGAGTCTGTGAGTTAAACAGCTATTTATAATTTCTAGCACCATCCGTAGAACTTCCTCAAGAATGGTTAAATCTTGAATCTGCAATACATATTTTAATTGACAATACAGATTGACTTATTTAATATGATATATCTTATATTGTACATATATATCTACCAAATCTGTATTTGCAACGGTAGCATTTCCATTAACAGTTACACTAATAGTATTATCAGAAGAAGTTATCGGCTGTGTTTGCGCTCGAATTTTTGCTTCTAACCGAGCGTGCTTTTTCGCAAGAGTCTCGAAGAGACTCAGCAATCTTTGACTAACATAAGGATGTAAGGATGTGAATTGGGCAGACATGTTTGCCAAAGCTGCTAGACAGTTCGTATGAAGATATTTGTCCTAACAAAGATAAAAAAATATAATTGTAATTTTTTTTAAATGTTTTGTGATTTTAAATCAATATATAATATAAAAAGGATGTCATATACTTACTCTCATTTTAAACATATTATATTGTATCGTGCGAATCACAACAAGGATTAAAAGACCACCTAATGATATTTCGCTTATGGATCTCTCAGTGTACCATGTTACACCTTTGAGCATCTTAAGTAAAATAATATAATTATTAATTGTTGTGTTAATCATAATACAATTACATAAAATATCACAATACTTACAATTTCATGTATCCGTTTGTTAAACGTTTCATCTTCACTTAAAATTAAAAGAATAATAAGGGACATATAAATATGATGTGATGTATTGTTTGGTGCATGATATAATATTTGCAATATTGGAGTTACCTATAAATAAACATTCACATGAGAGATCATTAAATATTAAACGTAATTCAATTTAAAAAATAAATTTTTAGATCACTTACCAATAATTGTATATCAGGCCTTTTCATTATGTCCTGTTTCACACTCGAATTCCTATGTAACAGCATATAGAGCAGGAGTGTGATTTCATCTGTATTTGGTATCTTACAAATAGTGCTATATAATTTATTTA